AGTCTTTTAAAAAGAGTCGGTTAAATCCGACTTCAAAAAGGGAGGATGCACTCAATTCGTCTGTATTTTTTGTGTACGTCACGCAGCATAACAGTTGGCTTCTCTTCTCTCTTCTCTCTGACTTGTATACTTTTTGTTTTAATGAATGTACCTTATTAACTATAGACCTAAGTTTTGAATTATTATTTTGTATTACTAACAAATGGACCCCATAACGTCTTAGGGTGCGTACAGATCTGGCGAACGCGCTGCATGTGCGCTGCCTGCGCGCTGCTCGCATACGTTCAATTAAATGCATGTTAATATATGTGGTGCGCGAATGACGCGCGAACAGATCGCACAACGTAATGCACGTGCGCAGCTCGCGAGCCTTTCACAAACAGGCGCGTTTGCGATGCATTCGTCAGATCTATACGCAATCTTAATGAAAAAAATATTATTATAAGTGTGGCAAATTAGGGGATGATCCGTTTTAATGACCTTTTTCCGTTAACAGATTTCAATAAAAAATTGGCACATAAGATATAATTCCAATCAAAATAATGTTATAGTGATTTAGTCTGGGGCTCCAATTCTGCTAATTTTCTTGAAACCACTGACTAGTATTTGTAACGCCATTGAGATTACATTGCAATTCTGACAATATTTGCTATTCTGTTAAAATCTAGTTGCAATGGCAAGTGAGTCTCAGTTGAATTGCGTATCCGTTCATTCTATTACATAACGATCGATGTTGCTTTACTAAAAGTACCACGAAAATTATTATAGAATAGAATTGAATATAATTATTTATTTTGGACCATGATAGTAATACAGTAAATTTTTGTTACGAGAAATGCCACGTCTAGACCACTACCATACGCACGTGTAGTTGCACCCAATGTAGTTGGTAGGGGCAGTCCAGCCTATTGGCAACAACGGCTAGGATGCCATTAGCGCTGCTGCGCACACACATCATGATTTCACGCATTATGCCTATCTTAATTTTTATCTTATTTAAACAACCATTTAGTCTCCAAATTAAAATATAATAGTAATAATTTAGGTTACCTATATAGAAGCTGACATGTACAAAATAAGTATAGTTTCACTGTGTCCGGCCAAAAAGTAGGCTTACAAATATTGTCCGGGCGGCGTCGTGGTGAATGTTCACTGATCCCACGGCGCCGACTCAACCGGCGAGAGGGAAACCCGGGGGGGTTTTAGTGGGGTAGGCCCTCCAGTGTGGAGGGAGAGTCCCCACATAACCCCTGAGTTTCCCTGGGCTCAGGGGTATCCATAAAGATTTCCCCCCGTCAAAAAAAAAAAAAAGGCTTACAAATATTGAAGGTATTATATACATTCATTCACATGCACTTCGACAGACTAAATCAGGTGTAACATGTTCGTTTTTCAATAATAATACTTAGAATAATAACGCATAGAAACCTAGTCCGCACACGCTAAGTGAGGCAAATTGTAGCGCTCCCAATGGGCCTACACGAGCGGGCCGTCAGTGCTCAAGGTCAACTTGCAAGGCGAACAGCTCAAGAATTTTAGCTAAAAATGACGAAATATGCGGTAAATGAGTGTAAAAATGACGAACATAAAATAGATACTAACATCACATTTCACAAGGAAGTAACGCGTTTCAACTTGTATTTTTATATAAATATTCACTAAAACAGAAAATTAATTTCGTTGCAACAAGACACGAAAATGTTGCATACAACATTTTCGGCAATACCGAATACAGCACTTGTTTGTAAATCCAAGATGGCGGACACGATTTTTCAAAAAAATGCAATTTGGGTATCGAGGTATTTGAGGATGCTCACATACGAATATGGCACTTGTTTCTAAATCCAAGATGGCAGACACGACAGTTCAAATAAAAGCAATATGAGTATTCGTAATGAGCATCCCCAAATACCTCGAAAACGTTACCCAACTTGCCCGCCATCTTGGACTTAGAAATGAGTGCCATATTCATAATGAGCAACCCTAAATACCTCGAAAATGATACCCATATTGCATTTATTTGAAAAGTCGTATCCGACATCGTGTATTCAGATATAAATGCCATTTCCATAAGGATTACCAAAAAACAAATTTTTGAAAATTCTTGTCACTTGATATTGTCGATCGACAGTAACGATTGACAAAATCGAAGAAATCTGTAGGCACCTGATCGTCAATGTCGGGCAAATCTGTAGGCACCTTTAACTTAATGATGAGTTAAGCAAGATACGATTTCCCCACTTTTGAGGGAAATGTCATTCCATGGCATCATTATTTGTATATTTGTGTGCGTGCCGACGAGCGTAGATACAAGTTGTTTACGCCTACATGAATTTGATTTTTGCCTCACTTGTGACAGTTCGTTTGATATAAAACTATCATTCTATGCGTTATTATTCTAAGTAATAATACATTATCGTGGATTTAATAAGTCGGTGAGAATTTCAACGCGACGATAGAAAACATGGGTCAATTTTAATGGTAATTAGATGTCAAAATGACATCGTAATATGAATAACGTCAATAACGTCTAATGTCAAAAATTAGATAATGAATTTAGGGATTTATCATTAAAAAATTGGGACACTGTATAGTAACATTTTGTTAGTCAATAGCTTGTTTAATTGTTTTTTAAATAAAATAAGGTTTTTCTCAGACCATAGTGCTTTCGATAAATTGTTGTAAATTTTTGACGCGATTACAAAAATACTTTTCTGCATGAAGGTAATAATAATACACTACGCCATGGACTCGCCTTTGAAGAGCAGATTATCAAAAGAATGCAATGGTAGTTGGTAGTTGAATAGTAGCTTGATGCTGATAGCCACCGACAAGCCACGTCTCTTAACTTTTAGCAGAACACCAAACGCACAAAATCTTGCCATTGACACTTTGTGCACACACAACTGGGATTAATTAAAATTATGATGGAAATTGCAGACAGACGAGACGAATTCCTCAAAAGTGAAAATGCTACCTTGTGTTTGCGCTCATAATAATATGATTCATTTTGACGAGAACTTCGAAATGCATTCAGTTATCGTCGAGAAGACCGAGTAACGAACACAGCAAAAGTGGATACCTACTCAAACTTATGAAGTAATTTTTTTTGGTACTATTTTGAAATGAAATAACTTACTTCGGAGAAGCAGGAGCATCCGAAGGAGATGATTTTCCAGATCCCGTCCCGGTTATAGACTTGTTGAATAGCAATTTTGCCAGGGAGTCGATTTTCTGCGCGACTAAAGGTGCACGCTCTGAATTTTCCTCTGAAAATTTTATAATACAATATATTTACGTTTCATAGTCACAGCATTTACTTCTCACGACGCCTATATCGAGAGAAGGGGTGAAATTATAGATAACCAGCATTCGAAGTGATCTTTGTCATTGATAATTATTGATGATAATTATAACTAGCAATGTGGTGCACGTGTTTGTATTCGATGTGTTAAATGTCAATTTAAAAAAAAATCACAAGGCAAATCGTTTTCCCACACATTTTTCATTTCATTTATTTTGTTTTTTCACCACATTTAGTAAAAAATTTGAAGAGACAAAATTTTTACGATCAGATTATTATCATGTCAATTAACAAATATACATATATGCCTTGATAATTTATTTCCAGGGTGTATGGTATTACGGGGTATATAGTTTACAGTATATTAGTTATTTACAGGGTTCGCCCTGTAAATAACGTGATGACATTTTCAAATACTATGTTATTGGTCGACTCTTTAGCCCAACAGGCATAGGGGTGGTGGATGATTGATACAAATTATAATTTTACTTGAAATAGAAGCACACGATGATCCTTCTGCATTCTCTTGTTTGGCAGTTTCTTCAGTCAGCAAGCAAAGAAAGAAAGAAACGAAAAAGATAAGGGAATTGAATACAACCTAAAATATAGAACACAGTACAATAAAATAAAATAAAAATTAACATGAAAATAAAAATACAATAAAAATAAAAATAAAATAAAATGTAGAATACAGAATAAATAGAAAATTAAAACAATAAAGAAAATATGAGAAAGATCATCGTGAGCTAAATAAGTAAGAGCTGCGACTAAAGATAATCATTATTGCTGGCATGATAATCATCACCATTCCAACATTATATTCCACTTTCAGACATAGATCTCTCTAAAAAGGATCGAAATATGTATACTTATCAATTGTAATGTCCACGAGTTTGGTAGAGAGTCTAAACATTATCAAGGTTCTGGCAGAGGTTAAATGCCTCGGTGGCCGGAGGGTTACCATGATTATCTGCCACGGGATCGATTTCTGGCCCGGGAGAAATGGCCTATATTTATTTAATTTATTTATTTAGGCACGGACCTCGGCTCAGGGCGCTACTGAAGACTTCCGTTAGAAGGGCGTGCTGTTGGAGAGAATTCTACCACTGTACGTGCTGAAATGAGGGGCTCTACGACCCCGGCAGCGAGGACGGTACGTGCGTGACGAGAGGGACTGATTAGCGATCTGGTTGGCCTTGAAAGGGGCGAGAGTGATAAGCGTCAGCGTCGTTGAGGGCTTCCCTTGACGGACGGGTCCTACGTACGCGGTGGGGGTGTTCCCTGAGGGAGTCATAGTTGGATGCAACCACCACGAAGGAGTTGAGGTGGTGAGGAGCAGAGTCGAAGTATGCCTGTTTCATGAATTGGGCTATTGTGGGGAGCCGTAAATCTATGTGGAGGTTAGCGTTCCGCAGGTACCACGGGACACCCGTCGCGTTGTGCATGAATCTATTTTGAAGAGAATGCAGGCGGATGCAGGTCGTATACAATCTCAGCTTATTACGAAGGGAGAGTTTGCTATGCTTGTTGAGAAGGGGGTGGAGGCGGCTCATAACAAAGTGGGCGCGATCGCGGACGGTTTTCACGTTTTACTGACTGATACTTCGGAATATCGCTAGTGTACAGGGAGAATAGGAGGATCGCGAAGAGAGAGCCTTGCGGGACTCCAGCTCTTACGGGGTAAGGGGAGGAGAGAGCGCCCTCGACTCGGTAGCGGAAAGAGCGAATCTACAAGATGTCTCGGATGAAGGGCACGAGACGATCAGGCACGCCGAGATTGTACAGCTTGTAAAGTAAGCCGTTGTGCCAGACTTTATCGAAGGCTTTTGCCACATCGAAGATGAGGGCGGGCGTTGAAATGGAAAAAAATGCTTATTTTTTTAACGTTATGTACGTTTAAAAAGCGTGCTTGTAAAAGCGCTTTTCACCTAAACGCTTTTTAGTTTGACGCTTAAAAAGTCGTTTAGAAAAACGTTTAGGCGCATAGACTTTATGTTTAAAAAATTTTTTTTCAGTCGCTAGATGCCTGACTTATGAAGCACTGTCACAAGGCTTGGCTGAACCCTGCAATCTCAGAAATATGCGCACACGTGACGTTAAGAATTGTGACTCCTCAATTCAACTTGTCAATGAATTGTTCAGTGAGTAGCTTATAGAAGTTACCACACTTATTAATCGGCTTAATTAACCGGCCAAAAAAAAATTGCACTAAGAATTGCAGCAACCACATTCACACCTCAAAAGGTCCATTACGTATGGTTGTCAGGCTTGGACACTCACACTTAAAGAGGAAAACAAACTCTTGGTGGCTTCGAGAAAGGTTCTTAGGAAAATATTAGGACCAGCTCAACGAGAGGAGCTGGAGAGTCAGCATTAACGCCGAAATAGAAACGTCGCCCAGCTAAACATCATCGGCGAAATCAAAGCGCGCAGACTTGCTGAATCGGCTTTAGAAAGCATGGGAGAGAATCGGAACTTGAAGAGAAGCTATCTGGGTCGACCTACTGGGCGACACTACGACCGGTATCGCTGGAGGGGTACCGTTGAGGTGAACTTACGCAAACTACAACTCTTTAATTGGCGAGAAACTGCACAGAACCGAAGAAAGGATCGTCATCTCCATTCGGAGGCCAACACACATTCTGGGTCGCTGAGCCAGCGGAGTAGAGTAATAAGAATTGCGAGGACAAATTTTCCACTCGGATCGCCGACGCGAAACGCACGTGTTTTGTACTCTTCTTGCATGATTATAAAGCTTTTTCCAGCCGGATCAAAATGATTCCGCCTCGACAAGTGTGGTGTCTCCCTATCACACCAAACGAGTTTACCCGCAGCGATTGCATTCGCGGTCAATATTCGTTTCTTGTGAATGAGGCATTAGGACATTGTACATTTTCGCCTATTTTTAACCGACTTCAAAAAAGGACATGGTTCTCAATTCGACTTATTTATTTGTATATATGTTACGCAATAACTTGCAATTTTGATGATTCCTTTTTTGTTGGAAAGAGGGGTGCCTAGGTATTGGTCCCATTTACATTTGATGGATGGATCCGGTTTCGCGCACTTTCCGGTAACCGATTTCAATAAAACTTGGCAAATAGATGTAATTCCACGCACTTTTGAGGTCGGTTTTTTATAAATAAAAAAGTCACAATTGTTACGATCAAATATTATACCTTCGCTCTCTTCTTTATCGGTAGATACAGATCGAATTCGAAAGGCGTTTCTCTTATTGGCAGCAGCAATAGAGTCGGGATTCAATTCAGCAGCTGACTGCGCCCGTCTGCAAGCGCCACGGCGCTTCTTCTTCCGGAAACTAGTTCTTGATCTTTCCTGATAGAACCTATCGTGTCCAGTTGTCTCTGGCTCCTTCTGTTCCTTCCCTTCTGCATTATTTTTCATATGCTAAATAAATGAAAGCGATAAATTAGGAACAGTTACTTTATTCGCAAGCAAAAGGACACTATTCCAGATGTGGGTATTCATTCATGTCATATAGATAGACTAATATACGAAGGTGATACTTACGACCACAGATACAAGATTCAAAATAAAACACTTACATCTTAAAATAGAACAACGCAAGAAAAATACACTACCTGGTATAAATTAAACATTTTGCCGTAGAAAAATTGTTTCAGCTTTTTGAAGGAAAATTTCATTAATTTAAATTTGCCTGCAAAGAAATGTGAAAGTTTTTTATTTTGACTACGTAAATAGAAAGAAAAAGTTTTGTTAGGTAGAGTCAATATCACGAATTAATTTATAATAATGTATCCTTGATAGAGAGATAGAAAGAGAGAAAAAAGAAAATATATATAAATATATTTTTTATCCCATAACGTAACGTTTTTCCATTTTAAAAGATGCTCTTATTCTTTTGCGGAACTAGCGGAAGCCCTCTCGCCACCGGATGCTTTGACGATGCAGTTAAAAGCTTTATCAAGGAGTTTCACTTGTGGATTCCAGTCGCCTCTGGATTTTCCACCGCAAAGGCACGAAGCTGCAGCGCAAAACTGTTACAAACAGTGGGACGTTGTTACAAGTTCATTGCTCAAACAAATTAAATAATCTTTATTTCATAAGTTAGAAAATACACTCGACGTCATTACATTGTTTAAACTCTACTACTCATTCATAACGCAGATTCCTCCGAGGAGAATGAATAAGAAACTCTAGGGGTTGCTCTTGGTAAATAAACATTTATACACGTTTATCATTTACAATGTTTATTGCGACTATCACAAATCAAGACTACCTGCTAGAGCTAAACGAGTCGCTGCCATGGATTTTTGTCATCCAAGTATGCAGAACTGTGTTATAACCTCGTAAATGGCAAATTTTGAATATGAAACGAAATCTTATTATAGATGCGTTCACATTGACCCTTAAATGAATTTGTGATTTCTTAAGACGACTGTCAAGAACGCCTCGATTTAATGTTTATCACTACTTTTATTTTTATTCCTGTTTCATATGACGTATGTAGATATAATTTTAAGCACACACATTACACTATTATTTAATTAAAATCTATGCGAAGTGGTCTTACAACTATCTTTTGTCACTAAATTTAATAAAGTCAAGTTTTGTCTACACCAGAATAACGTATAAAGAATGTAACTAAGCTGGAACTAGTGCACTCGTGAAGACTCGCAAATTATGTCAATACATCGTGACTAATTGAAAACATACAAGTGCCGTAATAACCTACCAACATATATACCAACACATTAATCTATAGATCTATGTATATTGGGTGTTAGTAAAAAGGTAATGAAAAAGCCACCTATTAGATGGTTCTGCTAAATACCGACTAGCCACCTTGGATTCAATCAACAAGCATGCCAAGAGGCTTCTAAATGACCCGGAATTAGTAGAGGCGAAGCTGCAGAGCCTTTAACACACCCGTAAAGTTGCCTACTTATCGGTATTCTATAGGATATATCACAGAGAGTGTGCGAGGGAATTACACCACAAAGCGTTTCGCTCCAACATTTATAGTGCGAACGGCTATGAAGTGGCATTCCCTGCCTGCAGACTTGTTACCTGAACGTTATAACTTGGACCTTTTCAAGGCGAGAGTGAATAGGCATTATTTAGGTGTGCATGCTCCATCGTCGACTTCATCGTCACTTTCCATCAGGTGAGATGGAAGTCAAATGCGCATTTATTTTTTTAATAAAAACAATAAAAAGAAGACCCTTAAGGGACCATTGAATTAGACGCTTATAGAAGCGTTGTAGTTGCTCCACAATTAATTTTCATACAATATTCAGAAGCGCAGTTGTATCGTTACTGTCGTGACACGCGCACACCACTTTTACAGTCACAATTAGTCAACTAAAAATTACGGTTTGTAGACAGGCTAGTGAACGCTAAACGCCAGTCTATTCCGAAAATTTTAGAGGTACGCATTTAACTGCTGGCTTAACGGGTCATGGTCCATATTAACAAACACCTTTTCAATTTAGGTATCACGGATAGCTCTCTATTGCAGAGCGTGCATGGAGAAGGAGGAAGAGGCCGCGCACATCCTAATATAATGGTTAGCGTGGTTAACAACAGGGCGAAATACCTTGAAGTGCCGAGGTTGCTCCCCGTTGTCTTCATAAGACAGAGGAAGCTCGGATGGGACTAGTAGAACACTGCACCATACCATACAACGGTAATGAAAATTAATGCGTTATTCTGATTATTCTATAGACCAGTGACGTAAAATTGCAAATATTTTAATGAAGTGCTGAGAAAATATTATTTTTGTTCAATTGCAAAATATATTATATCTTTATTTCATGGCTAAGCAATTTACTCTCGGAATGATCAAATCTATTAAACATTATACTAATTTGTAAAGCAGATTAATAAAATATTATTAATTTCCTATGAAAATTATTTATTCCGGATATCATTTACAATAATTGCTTTAAAACATTTAGAGAGCTAAACGAACACTGGCTTGATTTTGTCATAAAAGTAATCATAAACAATTACATTTAGTAGCAGTACATTTAGTTCAGTACTTAGTAGGGTAGTACTGCCACCTTACCTATTTCTGCCGTCAAGCAGTAATGTCAGCATTACTGTGTTCCGGTTTTGAAGGGTAAGGGTGCTGGTGAAATTACAGGCACGTGGGACTTGTCTCTGGGTGACGGGCGCAGTGGTAGTGCTCCTCAGATCTTTGCAATTAAAAGCTCTGATTGGCACTGTAACTGTTATGGACAGGCCTGTAGCTTACCATCAGGCGCACGACTTGTTCGTCCCGTCACTCGATGTTTAAAAAAAAGAACGTAGTATACTTACTACGGTACAGTAGGAGGTACAACAAGAAGTTTCATTACATGGTTTTGGGGGTAGTTTATCGAATTTCCATCCCACCAGGTCTTCTCTAGGAGTCGATTCATCGTTATGAAGATAGCAAACAGTCTGTTCCACAATGTGGCTTCCATGATGACCTCCTGGTAGGGATCATAATAATTAAAAATACCTCCTCCCTCTCATTTGCTGCGCCCGACAAGGTACCATACACGCTCTCTGTATTATATTTTGTTATACCATGTTAACACTATGGAAAAGCAATATAGTATTGATCAGGGCATTTGACATTTGGAAGCTTTTAGACGTTCGCCTTCTTTAAGCTCCGTTGCACCGACCGTCGTCAGACAGTCTGTATTGTGTCTATAGATAGACCGACTTGCAAACATCGTTGTTTGCAGGTGGCCCAATGATTACATTGAGAGAATTTGTTACTAACAGTAAAACATCTCCCGATCGATGATGACGACGTATTTATACAGCATTTATGTTGGCCATAACCTTGGAGATGCCGGTTGCAGGACTAGCCCGAAGAGCTAGTAGAGGATGAGCTAGATATCCTCCGGTCCCTAAAACCGCTTAGGTTATAAGGAACTGGAGAAACTCCGATTTTCGGCGTCGGGAAGTGAGCGTGCTTTACAACTCCGCCACCGAAGAGGAGATTTGGTAATGGACTTTAGAACCAACGACTTAGCGGTGGCAACCGTTAGTTGAGCAATGCGCAACGGGAAGTAAGCGTGCCTCAGCTCCGGTACATCTCAAAAATAGGGAGGATACTGTGCGAGCACCCATGGCAGCTCACCCAAGGCACTAGACTTTTGATAACCGAATGAAGTCTGCTGGTCTGCGGTCAGGACCTGATTAAGTAGGTCCTTGCTTGCACAGATTATAGTGAATATTAAATATATATTGAAATGCAAAAGCGTTACTCGATCATATCCATATATTTTCAAGTGACAAGTGAAACATGTCAACCACCGTATCCAGGCGACGGAATTGGTCTATGACACACCTCCGCCGTGATTCCCAAGAATCCCTGGAACCGGGAGCAGCTGGTCCAGGTGGCGGATCCAGATGCGGCCGTCATTTTCGATCTGGTAATGTAGGTTTCCGAGACGACGGGTCACTCTACCGAACTCCCACTTGCTCCCAGATATGGAGTAGTTTCGAGCTTGAACTCTGCTCCCTGGTAAGAACTCCCTCACAATGGTACCAAGTCGGGGTTCAGACTTTGGTCGCGCACGGATCTTCGCGGCTCGCCTAGTTCTTATTTGTCGTCCAAACATAAGCAAATATGGTGAGTCTCCAGAGTTGACCGGGGTGGTCCGAAGTAGAGTTTTGACTGTCCGGACTTTGTGTAATATTCCGCCACTCTCCCCCTGTAGAAAGATATGGGAACTAACTACATCTCTCAATCTTATCGAACTAATACGTACAAAATACTTGTGCAGATGGCAGTACATCAAGCGACGCATAGACGGATCTTGTTCCGTAGCACTGGACGCGATATTGGAACAAAAGCTTGATGTGCTGTTGACAATATTCCTAACCAATTTTAGGTTCACCCCGTATTTGCTATAACTACTAAACGTCACTGGTTAACTAAATATACGGTGAAAAAGAAGTTAGCATAATTTCATAACGATATTATACCTCTCTACCCCGCATCATCTCCCCTTATCCTCTAAAGTGTAACGGCAGAAATTCATACGCAACTTTGTCGTTGCGTTTTTATATGCCAGACAAAACCAAAGTCAAGCCCCACTAATCAAGACGCATCAGCAGCACACTGAAAACAGTTAATATAATAAAAGTCATCGCATGATTATAAATAATATTAAAAAAATCATAGACTGCCTGGGAAACCCAAGGGCCGGCAGCTACCTTGCCCGACGTATTAGCGTAGCCATACAAAGGGGGAACACTGCCAGCACCTTGGGCACCTTGCCGAGGGGACCCAATTTTATTCATATAACTTAAAAATTCTAGTTTTACTTCCTAGTATTTAAACTTTTATTGTACATTACCTGTGTATTATCACAGTAATGAATTAATTATATTATCAACAGCTGACAGGTGTTCTCTGTTCAACATGAAGTTTGGACGTTTGTCAAAGGTACACAGCAAATGCTGCAGTGCAAGATATTTATTATCTGTTTCATGTTTACTACTAAGTTGGATAATAAATTCCGTACATACTTAAGTCAATGGGCATTGTGTTGTTCGGATTCTTCGTAGATAATTAGAATGAGAAAAATATTATTAATTATTATTTTAGAATATTTGTTACTTTTCATGACATAGGAAGATTTCATAGTTCTGTTTCGATGGCAACGCGAACAAACCGCGTTTGCAGAATAAGAACAGTGCTTCCGCGTTAATACAGGCAAGGTGTTGTTTGACCCTTATAGGCGTCTGATGTTAATCCGATTTAAAACTACTGAAACGTAGGTTTTACGCGATAAGTGGATTTCATTTATCAGCAAATTGAATTGGTGATTTCCATTCGACGTTGAAGCAAGTCACTGATAATTAGGGTTGTGCTTTGAGGACTTGCAGGTGCTTTTGAACAGATAAATGCTATACTTATTCAAGTATGGTGCACTCAGTACACGCGCTATACCGGAACTATTGATTCCATCGCACAGTCGTGCGTTCTTAGGTCACATGGATGTTGAACTGCTGTTAAAGCGAGTCACTGGTAGCGAAGCGGGAAAAACTGTTTTACTAGATCAAATGGTTTAGGTATTTACCATAACGATCTCACAAAAAATATACGAAACATCTAAGGATGTTGTCCAAAAAAGTTTTAAGTTGTTACGCGATAGGGTGTACTTGCACCCTATCGCGTAACAACTTAAAACTTTCCGATCCGATCATATAAAATCGTGAAAACAGGCTAAAGTAAAAGTGTAAAACTAATTATTTAAGAATAAAATATCTAATTTGACGGAGAATCTGCTATTTTTTTTTCTTTGTTGCCCGTGGAAAAAAACAGCGTAACTTAGTAGGTAGTTCTAGTAGTAATAATAGTAGTATCACGGGTAGGTCATTGTTTTTGTCCGTGGTACTACCATTACTAATATGGGCAATAATACTTTCCCGTATTACTGCTACTAAGATAAGAAGCGTTTTATTAATTTCATAAAACAAACGAACCGAAAGCCAAACAATACAATAATAACCTAACCTCAGTACGAAGTACTAAAAAAAACCGACCTCAAAAGTCATTCATCACCTAGTTTAGTGGTCGAATATTTTCTTCAAATTTAAATGGGACCACTTCTGAGGTACCATTTTTCCAACAAAAAAGAATCATCATTGGGAGATTATTATTGCCCGTGGAATTACTAGTAGTTCTACTGGTAGTTCCAAGGGCAACAAAGGATTTTTTCTACTTTCGCACTAGAGAAACCCTGTATCGCGGGTGCCATGGACACATACATAGACAACCACAAATGGCAGGCCATACATATATATTTTTTTCCCGGCCTGGGAATTGAACCCATGATCCCTGCGTGGCAGTCCAGCATGGTAACCGTTTAACCACAGAGGCATTTTTTTGTTTTTGATTCACAACTGAAGGCCTGTAGTTATTATTAATTAATTGCTCAGCGGTATAACAATACGCCGCGCCGTTAGTCGCCATCGGGCGCTTGTCGACGTCGAATCTGTGTCAAATTTTCTCAATATGTTCTTATTTTACCCCCACACCTCACTTCCTAAAATCTAGGCTCGCGTAAATCGCGATCGAAATCATCAGTTTTAGGGTTAAAAAGTATCTAAAAATACTTGATACATAGGTACCACCACGTCTGCTTCCCATTAGAGCAGGCAGAGGGAATGGAGTAGAACCTATAAACCTGCGACTAAAGCTAATAATACTTCGATGTGTCGACCCTAGTAAAACGTACGATGTGGCGCTCTATCGGTTTAGAGAGCATAGATTCCCGAAGTGGTCTCACCCCCAAGTGGGCGCTGAAGAGTCCTAGAGGGACGGCCTCGGAAGCAATTTATGCTGTCCAAGGGATGCTACCGCATTTGAAAAAAAATATTTATTTGTGCTGGTGGGCGTTGAAATGTTTTTATCTTGCCTAAGTGGGCGGTGAGTCAAAAGGTTTGAGAACCTATGGTTTAGCGCAATATCGACCCGCCGTAGTATGCCGCCTCGATGAAGCTATTATCCATATTTAGCTGTGAAATTCAAGTGATAATTTGGCATTTTAAAATTTTATTACAATAGCGAATATGGCGAACACCGGGACGTCACTTTTTTATGTCATCGCGAGCGCCAGCGACCAATGGCTGCAAAAGATTAACACAGTGCCAAACATTGCTGATTTTAAAACATTTGCACAGTAATTTTATCAATGTAAAAATTGCGCGCGACAAACGAAATGAAAAAACATTCGTTTCATGGTTTTCGCGGTGATGATTAACCGACAAAGATAGCTTAACTATATACGGAATTTCATATCGTTATCTTTGTTCTTCAAAATGTATAACAATAGTTCATTACCAGATAAGCAAACTTAGATTTATCAACTGAATTAAATATTGTCACGGGGAGGTTTATCACACATACTCTGCCATGCTACTATAGCTTAATTTGTTTTTTAAATGTAAGTACATTTCATATTGTACTTTTTGAGT